TGTGGATAGGAAGACTGAACATTGTGAAATTGTCCATTCTATCCAAAGCAATCTATGCATTTAATGCAATCCCAATCCAGGTCCCATCACCATTCCTTGTTATTCCTTAAAGATATGGAAAAAGCAATCACTAACTTCATATGGCAAGGAAAGAGACCTCAGATAAAGCACTATTGAAGAAGAACAAAGTAGGAGATCTCACACTCCCAGATGTGAAAAACTACCGTACAGTCACAGTAGTCAGAACTGCCTGGTATTGTTACAATGACAGACACATAGACCAATGGAATAGAATTGAGAACCCAGAATAGATCTATTGACCTATGGTCAGCTGATCTTTGACAAAGGGCTAAAATCCATTAAATGCGGAAGAGATTGTCTATTTAATAAATGGTGCTGGCAAAACTGGATATTCATTTGCAGAAAAATGAAACAAGATCTGTACCTCATAGCATACACAAAAACTAACTCCAGATGGATCAAAGACTTAAATGTGAAACCTTAAACTATAAAGTTCCTCAAGGAGAAACTAGGGCAAACTTAGGGTCCCTAATTTATGGTATAAATAGACTGTCAAGCATAACTCAAAATGCCCAAACAGCAGAAGAGAAACTAGATGAATGGGACCTTCTAAAAATTAATTTTTATGTGCTTCCAAAGACTTCTCCAAAGAGTAAAAAGAGAACATACAGGTTGGAAAAAATACTCAGCAATGACATATCTGACAAGGGTCTTACCTCTAGAATTCATAGAAGACTCCAACATCTCAACAACAAAAAGACATATAATCCAATTTAAAAATGGTCAGAAGACTTGAATAGACACTTCACCAAAGAGAATATTGAGGCAGCCAAAAAACAGGAAGAAATGCTTATGATCATTAGCCGTTGTTGTTATGTGCCGTCTAGTCGGACCTGACTCATAGTGACCCCTCCTTGAGTTTCCAAGCCGGTATCACTACAGAAGTAGATTTCCCAATCTTCCTCCCGAGGAGTGGCTGGTAGGTTTGAACCTCCAGCCTTCTGGTTAGCAGTCAAGTGCCTTAGGCACTAGGCTATCAGAGCTCCCTCATTAGCCATTGTTTTTTTTGTTGTTGTTGTTATGTGCCAGACCCATTAGAGAGATGCAAATCAAAACAACAATGAGATACCATCTTGCCCCAGCACTAGTAGCAAAGTTGGGAGTTCTGGTTGCATAGTGCCTAAGGCACTTGACTGATCCTCAGCTTATACGGAAACTGAGACAGGAAGATCTAGATGGTGACCGGCTACCACTGTCAACCACTCAGAGGGAATCTTTGTAGGAGATCCTCGATAGAGTTGGAGAACAATGTGGAACAAAACTCAAAATCATTAAAAAAAAAAAAACAGATTTGCTGATCTGATAGAGCCTGGTGGAACCCTTGAGACTATGGCCCCTAGCTGCCCTTCAGGTCTGGAATTGAACTTACTCCTGTGGCTTCCAGCCAAACGAAAGAGACAGGTGTATGAGGTGAACATTTCCATTAGGTAGATACACTCCTTGGAAAGATCAATCTTGGGAGAATAGAAGGGCTGAGTATGCACAAGGAGACAGCTGGGGGGCAGGAATGCATGGAGGGAAGGGCACAGGGAATAGGTAACTATGGGAGGAAGTGGGAGGGGAGTTGTTGCATTGTGGGAAATTACAGTCAATGTCATGAGGCATAGTATATGTGAACTGCTGTATGTAAAGTGAATTTCTTCTGTAAACTTTCATCCAAATCACTCACTCACACACACACACACACACACACACACACACACATACAAAAGCGTTAGTCATTATCTTCAGTTTCATCTCAAAGATCAGTTGTGATAATAGGTTCACATTTGACCTTGAGCAGAAGTCACTATTGATGAAATTCCTTTAATATTACACTGTATCCCTGTGGATTTCTTGAGGGGGTAGGGGGTAGGAGAGAGAGTGATAAATGAAGGTAAGGATGAGTCATATATATCTCATATTTCTTTTTATCTTCCTACCAGGAGAGAAGTTTTATCATTAGCTTGTGGAAGATTTAAAAAACAAAACTCAGTCATTGAGTCACTTCTGACTCATAGTGACCTTCTTTGGGTCTCTGAGGTGGTAAATCTTTATGGAAGTAGGTTGCCCAGTCTTCCTTTCATGGAGTCGCTGGTGGGCTTGAACCACCAACCTTCTGGTTAGCAGTCAGATGCCTTAGGCACTGTGCCTTGAGCGCTTTAGAAAGCCATAGGAGTAAAGTTTAAATAAAAAAGGAGGATAATAGTGGCTAAGACACTTGCCTGCTAACCAGACGGCTGGCGGTTCAAACCCACCAGCCACTCCTCGGAAGGAAGGTTGGGCAATCCTACTTCCGTAGTGATAACTGCCTCGGAAACTCAAGGAGGGGTCGCTATGAGTCAGGGCCGACTCGACGGCACATAACAACAACAACAACAATAATCAGATCTAGCAGAAAGTTCTGTGCTAAAAAGAAAACAAACCAAACTCACTAATGTTGAGTTGATGGCGTCTCATATCGACCTCCTTTGGGTTTCTGAGGAGGTATCTCTGTGGAAGTACATCGCCCAGCCTTCCTTCTGAGGAGTGGCTAGTGGGTTTGAACCAGTAGCCTTTTGGTTAGCAGTCAGATGCTTAGGCACTACACCACCAGAGCTCCTTAGTTCTGTGCTAGACACTCTTTATTGTTATGCTCAATAATTTAAAAATTGTTGGGTGAGAGGAAAAGATCAAATACAGAAAGTCTGAGTAAACAAAATGTTCTCTCAGCTAAGTGACAAAACTAGTAGGTTTTTTTTTTAATGGAATGAAAAACTCCTCTTTTTAGGAGCAGAAAGAAAAGGAGGGAAAAGGCAGTTTTGACATTTCTTTTCAGACATCCAAGGAACACCTGTGGTTAGCTGGCACAGGCATTATAAGCATTCTGATTTTGTAACTTAGAATCCTTTCCCAACACTTTGTCTTATAATAGGCTCTTCTTTATTATCATGCCTGCTTAAATTTTGTGGAACTTTGTTGAGCATGAATAAGATTTGAGAATTCAGAATTCCACATGAGGTAATGTGGTCATTTATAGGCAACTCTTTTTAAAATTTCTTAATAAAGAGAAGGAGAGAAAAAGGACTGTAAGATGTTGCTACGGAATTATCTTTTTTTTTTTTTTTTTTAATTAAAGAGAGACACTTGGGCAAGTTTAGCCACAGAGGAAAAGAATCCAGTTGAAAGTGAAGGATTTCCTCCCTCTTCTGCCATTAGCCCAGAACTGGATGGTGCCCCACTACCATTACAGAACATTTTGATCAAAGATTCTGATCAAAGGGTGGGTGGGGGGGTGCATGGAGACACAGAGCAGAATTTAAACTTCTTAGACTCTAGGCTTTCTGGAGACATGGAGGCTGGATGAGCCCTTGAAACTTTTGCCTTGAGATAATGTTTAAAACTTAAACTAAAAATATCCCCTGAAGTCTTCTTAAAATGAAACAGTAGTTTCGCTCAGCTAGTAATGAATGTCTGCTTTGAACATTGTTGTTGTTATTGTTATTTGCCATCGAGTCGGACCCGACTCATAGCGACCCCTCCTTGGGTTTCTGAGGCGGTATCACTACAGAAGTAGATTGCCCAACTTACCGAGCATTTATGCTCTTTTAAAAACTGACTGTATGGGATCAAAGTGGCAGTAGCAACTCAGTAGATAGGAACCTTAGAGGGCAGTGAGTTTGTGTTAATGGTAGAGGAACAATTCAGAAAAGGAGGGTGAGATTGATTGTACAACTTGAAGAATGTAATCCGTGTCACTGAATTGTGCATGTAGAAACAATTGAATTGGTGGTGTGTATATGCTCAACAAAATAAAAGTGAAAAACTCTCCACATATTGTTGGCTAGATGAAAGTAGGGGATATTTAACTTTACCATGGACAAATTAAGCTATTGACAACTGAACACACTACACTGTTCAACCCTGGTTACATAATGGTTAAATGCTTCATTACAGACCGAAAGGTTGGCTTTTGAACTCATCAGTGGCTCTGTGGGAGAAAACACCTAGTCTACTCCCATAAAGATGGCAGCCTAGAAAACACTATGGGGTAGTTCTGTTTTGTCACATAGTGTTGTTGTGAGTCACAATCAACTCAGTGGCACACAACAGTAGTGAGGTAACCAAACATCAAGTTTGTTCTAATGTCCTACAGTAGGAAGTCCACAGGATCACCTAAAAATAATCTCGCCCAACATATTGAACCTGAATATAATCTAGCCTGTAGATCTAACTTCTTCAAGTTTACAGGATAGAGGAAAAAAATACAAACATATACCATAGGGAAGTAAGCAGAATGTAGGACAATCTGTAGGTCAAGTAGCTCAGTCTCACCAATAAGTCAGTTTCATAGGAGAAGAAAGAAAGCGGGATGTAGGCAATCCTAAATGGAGAAATTTGAGAGATATAACCAAATGCAATATGTGGCCTGTAATCGAATCCTGATTTGAACAAATCAGATGTAAAAGGAATTTGGCAGAACAGTTGGGGAAGTTTTTTAATGGCATGGGTATTAGATATTAAAGAATTATCATTAATTTTGATAGTTATAATAATGATATAATGGTTTGGCAATAATAACCTGATATTTTTAGAGATGTATAGTGAAGTATTTATGGGTAAAATGTCTTAATATCTGTAATGGACTTTAAAATACTTTAGTGAGGACAGAAGAAGATGAGTCAAATGGGAAAAATATTAACAATTGGTAAACCTTTGTGATGGATATTATAAGTTTCATTATACTAATCTCTACTTGTCAGGGAGCTCCTTAGTTGTTTACTAAGCAACTCTAAATTCTAGTGATAGTTAACTGTCTTACTTGAGTTTCAGAAGGACCAAAAAGAATTTATATTGTTAAAAATATAATTTATATCTATAAACTAATTTATATTTTATTATAATATTTTTTATAGTAGATTGATAGAGAATTGAATCTTTATTTCTCTTTCTTTTTTTAACAGTTGCTTTCACTGGTTAATTTCTGAAGTAAACAAATTCAGAGGATGAGTGAACTGGAACAGTTGAGGCAGGAAGCTGAACAACTGCGAAATCAGATCCAGGTAAGAGCTAACTTTGTTTTGAAATTTTGGCACTTGTTTTTAGTATCTGCAGTCGCATGGCAAAGATCAGCATGAATCCAGTCCTCAAAATGTGGAGACTGATCCAGCCCTCACATCCCAACTTCTCCAACCTCGTTGCCAGCCATCCTTGTGGCATTCTTTCTCTCTGATTCTAGCCACCTGGAGGTCACAAGTTAGGACACAGTCCTTTATACTGCATATAGGCAGACACCAGTCACACATTTGTGGGGTCCACATGACACTCCAACTTTCTGACCTGCTGGCAACAAATTTGGGGCTGGTTTCCTACTATCCCTTTAGGATGCCAGCCGCGAGTTTGTGAGACAGCAACACACTTTAACTTTCTGACCTGCTGGCTCCTGCTGCACCTTTGGGTTAGATAACTCACAAGAATGATTCATGGAATTTATGAAGATTATACCATACTTATAACTACAGATATATTATAGCAAAAAAGGATACAGATGAAAGGATGAATAGGGTGAGGCTGGGAGGGTTCCCAGATTGTACCTTCCCTATACTAAATATGCACTAAATTCCTTGAGAGCAGAGACTTTTGTCAACCAGGAAGCTGTCTGGGCCCTTGTGCTCTGGGCTTTTATCAGCCAGTGCTGGATGATAGGCTAAATCATGTCTTCTGAGACTAGCTGATAATGACTTCCCAAGTAAGTCTTTGCTGGTCTGGCCAGCCTCCATTCAACAGTACAAATTCTTAGATGTGGCCTGGAAGTCCCAGACCAAGGTGCCTCAATTACTTTAATTACTTCTGCTGATTAGTTCTCCAGAGCCAAGGGCAAAGACCACTTTACATAGGGATATATATATGTGTGTGAGTGTGTGTATGTATGTATATACATATATATATATGTACATGTGTGTGTATATATATATGTGTATACACGCATACACACACGTATATACACACATACATAGACATGTGTATATATTTAAAATATATATCATATATATATATATAAAAGGAGCTCTGGTGGCGTAGTGCTTATGGCATTTGACTGCTAACCAGAAGGCTGTGGTTCAAACCCACCACCACTCCTCAGAAGGAAGGTTGGACAATCTTCTTCCATAGTGATACCTCCTCAGAAACCCAAGGAGGGGTTGCTGTGAGTTGGATCCAACTCGGCGACAGTGAGTTTGGTTTTGGTTTTGGTTTTGGTATATAATATATATGTATGTATATGTGTGTGTGTCTGTGTGTATGTATGTGTGAGTGTGTGTGTGTATATATATATATATTTATATATATGTGTGTGTGTGTGTGTATATGTATATATCCCTGCTGAAAGATAAACATCCCTTCATATTCATACGACTAGAATCATAGTTTGATTTTTGGTATAATATAATGAAGGAGATATTATCACATTATTATGTTCTAGGTTATTAATCTCTAAAAAAAATAAGAAAAAATTACATTTGCTCTTGACTCCAACTCATGGCAGCCCCATGTGTGTCAGAGAACTGTCCTTCATATGGTTTCAGTGGCTGATGTTTCAGAAGTAGATAGCCAGGCCTTTCTTCCAAGATACCTCTGGGTGGACTACAACCTCTAGCCTTTTGGGTACCAACTGAACGGGATAACTGTTCGCACCACCCAGGGACTCCAAAACAACATTAGATTGCAAAAAAACATTAAACATTATTAGTCACACTTCTGGTTTTAAGTTGTCAGAGAAAGACATGTCTGATAAATTTTCCTCTTGCAAATCAATCAGAACAGTAAGGAGTATAAGAAACAAACACAAACTTCCACCTTCAATGAAATCAAAAGACTTGTAGAACTTCAAACCATAATAGGATAAGGACACATTGTTAAATGCAATGATGTGACAGAGTGTGAGAAGACTCCAGAGAATATGTCTGCAGGTGTAAATCTCAAGACAAAGTAGGTAGTCTCTGAGGACACCACCAACAATCGCTTGTTTGGAACAGTAGAAACAGATGCTTCCCTGGACTTAATTGGCACTGAGGGGTATCAAGGAAGGCAGAGCTAAAAATGAAATGATATAGATATGTCATCTTTCAGGAAGCGTCTCCTGGTGAGCAGAGATGAGGAGAGAGTCTTGTGAGTAGCCTGATAGCTGCCTCCTTCTGATTTGAGAAAAGTAAAGGCTAAAGCAACTTACAGATACAAAAATGAAGGACTTCAGCACAAAGCTGGGAGAATCCTTGATAACTTGGAATGTTGATGTGGCTCCTCAATATGAACCTTTAGCAAATAGCTTTTTCAGAAGACTTCATGTAATTTTTCAGTGAGGAACAGTCAAAAAGGAGCAAGTGTAAGATCTATACACAGATGAGGAAGAGGAGGAAAGGAGCAGGAAAAACAAAGGATAAAGAACACTTGACAGAAAAATGTTGTTACTGAGAAGATAGAAATCATAACCAGATTTATTGCCATGAATTCAAGGAAGTTAATGATTTAGATAAAGGAGCCCTGGTGGTCTAGTGGTTAAGTGTCCACCAGCCACTCTGTGGGAGAAAAGACCTGGTGACCTGCTCCCATAACATCAGAGCCTAGGAAAGCCTATGGAGCAGTTCCACCCTGTCATATAGGGTTGGTTTGAATTGGAATCGGCTCCCTGGCACAGGACAACAACAGAGATTTAGATATGAATCAGAACCTTGAGCAGTTGATACCTTAAGTGTCTGAAGAAAGCTGCCAAAACAAGGAAGGGATTTGTTTTGCCTGAGATGACCAGAGAATGCTTCACAGGCTCATCTGTGTTAGAGGTCACTATCACCAGCATAACAAAATGTTCCATCATCTTTGCGTCTTTGTACCACTTTCTCCTCATGCTGGTTGGTCAAGCATATGGTCACATGCCCATCTCATGTAGACTTCACAGCAGCCCTGTGAGGTAGGTGGTATTACTTTATTTTGTGGTTGAGGACAGGCTCATTGAGGTTAAATAATTCACCAAGATAACGTAACTAGTAAACTCATGGATCCAAGATTCAGACTAGGTTATTTTGATCCCAAAGCCTATCGTCTATCTCCAGTGCTGCACTTGCAGGCTTCTTTACCGATGGCCCATCCTGCAGCCTTACTAGTCTGGTTGCCATTGCCTTGCTCTTTTCTACCACATGGGCTTTTAGCAATTTGTTCCCTTGCCTGGATTTGTACTATCTTTGCTCCATTTTTACTTCTTGGAATCCTATCCATCAAATACCAGTTTTCCTCTAAAAACCCTTTTCAGATAAGGTCACCCACTTGGATTTACTCTCTTTCTTTAATTGGAGGGCAGCATGGCTTGGTGCATGGGTTCCACCTTTAAATTACTTAGTGGCTGTGGGCAAGTTGTTAACATTTTTGAGTCTCAGTATCTTTATTGCAAAAGGAAAACATCATTGCACACTTAGAGGATTGTGTGGAGGATTAATATAACATGCAAAGGACTTAGCCCCACACTAGTGAGTGGCAGTTCCTTATTTGTATAGCACTTTGTACTTCTATTACAGGGCTCATCCAGACTGCCTGTGTTATAGTTCTTCGTGCACATTTGCCTCCATTACTTGTACTTGGATGGAAAAGCCCATGTCTTAATCATCTTGATATCTCACTAGTATCCCAAGCACAATGTTGTGTGCTTCTTCCCATGATTTCGAATATCATGTTCCTTTCTTCTCAGGTTAATCCTGTCACGCTACATTTAAATACTCTTTCTTCCTTCTTTCCATTATTTCTTCCTCTTCTCCAGAAATATAATCAAACTATATGGTGTAAACACATAGCAGGATATAAATACATGCTCTGATGCACTATTAATATTAAGGTAAGTGCTCTTGGTAGTACACATGGTTATTGTGCTCAGCTGCTAACTGAAAGGTATGAGGTTCAAGTCTACTCAGAGGTGCCCTGAAGGAAGGACCTTCAATTGACTTCTGAAAAACTAACCATTGAGATCTCTGTGGAGCACAGTTCTGCTCTGACACACATGGAGTCACCATGAGTTGGAATCAACTTGGCAGCATCTGATGGGTTTGGTAGGTTTTTTGTTTTTTGTATTCATAGTGTCTAAAATAGTACATGGCACATACTTAAGTGAGCAACAGTTTTTGTCAAATGACTGAATCAAGAATGATGACTTGAACTTTAACTCCATTTTCTGAAAGCTTGAGATCAGAGAAATTGTTTTAGAAATTTAGTCTTCAATTCCACTATTTTTGGAACATAGTTCAGGCCATGACTGTGTTTTCTGGAAATTCTTTTCATTGTAGGAAAGTAGGCACTGTTATTCTTTGCCAAATGAGGTTTTAAAACCCACAATTTGGCTAAGAATGACAATCAAATCATACATTAGTGCACCCTTAGAAATAGTCTGTTTATAAATAGGTTGAAATGGCAGCCAAAAAGATCAAGCCTTTTATCCAGTCTTTGCTATAAGCTGAGGCAGGCATTTTTCCTTTGGCTGACTGGAATAAGTTCATTTGGAACATTGACTTAACAAATATTATGTACCTTCTTTTGACCAGGGATATACTAGGCCCTGTTGTTTTTAGCTGCTGTCAAGTCAGCACCTACTCATAGTGACCCTGTGTATAACAGAACAAAAGACTGCCCAGTCATGCTGTATCCTCAGCATCCTTGCTATACTTGAGTGCATCATTGTAGCCACTGTGTCAATCCATCTTGTTGAGTGTCTTCCCCGTTTTTGCTGACCCTCCACTTTACCAAGCATGATACCTTTCTCCAGGGAATGGTCCCTTCTGACAACATGACCAAAGTAGGTGAGATGAAATCTGGCCATTCTTGCTTCCAAGGAGCATTCTGGCTGCACTTCTTCCAGGACAGATTAGTTTGTTCTTCTGGCAGTCCATGGTACTTTCAGTATTCTTTGCCAACACCACAATTCAAAAGTATCAACTCTTCTTTAGTCTTCCTTCTTCATTGTCCAGGCACTGTAGGGAGAAATAAAGAGAATTCTGTTTTAGCTCTCTAGTGCTGCTGTAACAGCCATACCACAAATAGATGTTTAACAAAAGGGATTTTATTCTCTTATGGTTTTGGAGGCAAGAAGTCTGAGTTCAAAGTGCCAGTTATAGGGGCTGGGTGAAAGCCCCATCACCTTGGGCTTTAGCACTGCCTCTTGCTCCCAGCCTACTGAAGCTGAGGCTTCTCTTAACTAAGGCAGCTGCTGGCTGCTAAGGCTGACAAACCCAAGGTCAATAAATAAAATGGCATGATCCCAAGATTACCAAAGAACATGGCAGGCCACTAGTTCAAGTCCAGAGACAGTCCCAAAATCGGCAGGAAACATGGCAGGCTGCTGAATGACTACTTGGTTATGTGCAAGGTCCAAGCATGCTGAAAAGCTCAGAGACTTTTCTCAACACTTCTGCTTGCATTCTGGAAGCAGACCACATCCCTGAGGCAGCTACTCAGCTGTTCACTGCAGATTCCACCATGGAGTTGATTACCAGTTTCATCATGGGTGAATAACTACATCCAGCTGCCCAGCCACTCAAAACCAGGCCCAGCCAAGTTGACACACAACTTAACTACCACAGATACCAATCAAAATTTTGAGAAAAAAGATAGTTTTAAGTCTAGCAGGAAGAATTGATTATGCTGTTGATTTTAGAGAATCTTCTAAATTTGTTACTAACTGGTAAATTTGGTTTTAAACATTTTGTTGTTGTTGTTGTTATGTGCCCCCTCGAGTTGGCCCTGACTCATAGCGACCCCTCCTTGGGTTTCCGAGGCATATCACTATGGAAGTAGGTTGCCCAGCCTTCCTTCCGATGAGTGGCTGGTGGGTTTGAACCTCCAGCCTCCTGGTTCGCAGTCAAGTGCCTTAGGCACTATGCTACCAGAGCTCCCTTAAACATTTTACTTCTTACTTAGTATGCATTTGCTTGCCTTACTTGTTTTTATTCTGTTGTCTTCCTTTTTGATAACTCCTTTTAAATTTGTATAAGTTTTTCTTTTTTTTTCTCTCTCTTACTTTTTGAGGTCTCTTAGGAAGGCTACCCTAAAATACTTAGGCACAAACATCTGTATACATGCAAGGAGTTTGCTATTAATATAAAGATACAGATGGCCACTATAAATGGTTGCCTCGTAAATAAAGATTACTTTCCCAAAATAATCATAACTTATTCTTATATTGGAGGTAAAATAATTTAATAGTATTCAAAGCATTTGAAAGAAGTGGTTTTCCTTTTTAAAATTTCTGGAATAACCTGGAATATAATATAAATACCCTTCCTGTCACCTCAGCTTTTAGATGCTAGAACAAATAAAAGGGAATTCAGAATATTTGTTTTCTGCTGAACTTAGTGACACATATAACTGTGAATACCATGGACTTACTAAACCAACCTAGCTCATTTTACTCAGAGGATGTGATTAATTATTTTTTTTAATTATAAACAAAAGTATATTTGCACAATGTAATAGAATTGAGAGCGCTCAGGAGTAGTCTGTACACCAGTGGTCGATGAGTTTTCCACATGAGTACCAGACCATTTAGTGGGGGAAAGAATAGTTTCTTCAGCAAATGATTCTGGGACAACTGGGTATATACATGTAAAAGAATAAATATGGACCCGTACCTCACACCATATAAAAATAATGACATGAATCAAAGATCTGAATGTAAGAACTAAAGCCAGAAAATTCTTAGCAGTAAACTTGGGTGTAAATATTCATGACCTTCAATTAGGTGGTGGTTAAATTTGACACTGAAAGCACAAAATTAAAACCAATAAGTAAATTTAACTTTATTAAAATAAAAAATTTATACATCAAAGGGCACTAACTAGAAAATGAAGGACAACCTATAAAATGGAAGAAAATATTTGAAAATCATTTATTGGCTAAGGATCTAGTATCCAGAATATAGAAAGAACTCTCACAACTCAAAAATAAAGAGAAAAATATGTTTAAAAAATGGCAAGGAATTTGAATAGACATTTTTCCAAGGAAGATACACAAGTGGCCAGTACCCAAAACCCACTGCCATTGAGTCTATTGCAACTCATAGTGACCCTATAGGACAGTGTAGAACTGCCCCATAGGGTTTCCAAGGCTGTAATTTAAAAATATATATATTTTATTGAAATATAATTTATGTACAGTGAAATACACAAAACTAAAGTGACATGGGTCAATGCTTTTGTGTTTTTTTTTTTTCTTTTTTTGCAGTGTTCCTTCCCCTCTTCTCCCCTCTGGTAACCAACAAAGAATGTTTCTCTCTGTATATAAACCTTTCCCTGACTGTTTACAATAAGAACCAATACTATATTTGTCCTTCTGTGATTGACTTATTTCACTCAGCATAATGCCCTCCAAGTTAATCCACTTTATGTGGTGTTTTGTGGATTCCACATTATTTTTTAGTGTTGTGTAGTATTCCATTGTGTGTATGTACCATAGTTTTGTTATTCATTCTTCTGTTGATGGGCATCTTGATTGTTTCCATCTTTTGGCTATTGTAAATAGTGCTGCGATGAACATGGGTGTGCATATGTCTGTTTTTGTCATGGCTCTCACTTCTTTAGGATATATATCTAGTAATGGAATGGGTGGGTCAAATGGTATTTCTAATTCTAGATTTTTAAGGAATCCAAGGCTGTAAATCTTTATAGAAGAAGACTGCTTCATCTTTCCTCCATGGAGCTGCTTGTGGGTTTGAACCACTGACCTTTGGGTAGCAGCTGAAAGTTTCAACCACTATACCACCAGAACACCTCACTGTACCACCAGAGTTCCTTAAATGGCCAATAAGAGCATGAAAATATGCTCAGTATCGTTAGTCATTAGGGAAATGCACATCACAACTACAGTGAGATACCACTTCAGACCCATTACCCTACTTACATACCTACTTACCATTTGCAGTGGAGACTCATGTGTGTCAGAGTAGAACTGGACTTCGTAGGGTTTTCAGTGGTTGCTTTTTGAGTAGTAGATCACCAGGCCTTTCTTCCAAGGCACCTCTGATTGGACTCTCAAAATTCTGCCTTCTCAGTTAGCAGTTGAGCTTGTTAACTCTTTGCACTGCCCAGAGACTCCATCACACGGTCCAGCCCCTGTGAAACACAGTTTGGCAGATTCTCAAAACGTTTAAACATAAAGTTTCCTCACAACGCACCAATTCTAGTCCTAGATATATGCACTCAAGAAAATTAAAAACATGTTCACTCAGAACTTGTATATGGATGTAGATACCATCAACATTCAAAACAGACAAAATGGAACTAACAAAATATTCATTAAACAAAATATGGTATATCCATGCAGTGGAATCCTCGGAAGGAAGGTTGGGCAATCCTACTTCCGTAGTGATACTGCCTCGGAAACCCAAGGAGGGGTCGCTATGAGTCGGGGCCGACTCGACGGCAAATAACAACAACAACAACATGCAGTGGAATATTATTCAGACATAATAAATGAACTTTGAAAATTAAGTGAAAGAAATCAGTCAAAAAAGGTCACATATGATTCCATTTATATGAAATGTCCAGAATAGGCGAATATTTAATGATAGAAAGTAGATCAGTGATTGTTAGCAGATAGGACGAGGGGGAAAATAGGAAATGTGGGGTTTCTTCTTTTGGGTGATGGAAATATTCTGGAATTAGATAGTGGTGATGGTTACAACAACATTGTGAATAAATAAAAAAAATTGAATTAGTCACTTTAAATGGTTAAAATGATGAATTGTAAGTGACACGTGTTATCTCAAAAACTTCTTTAAAAATAAAGATGATGTGGTACAGTGAAAAATGTATATTTTCAAATTTGCTTTCTTTTTCAATAAAAATATTATTTAAATCATATCTAGAGGTTTCCACATGTAAATGTATTGTAATTATCTTTCTTCAGGATGCAAGGAAAGCATGTAATGATACAACACTCGTTACGGTAAAGTATTTTTTTTTTTCTATTTTAATAATTCATATGAAATAACGTGACAATGCAAATGGCATTCAGATTCTTTTTATTAGTACTTAATTTAAAAAGTAAATGAGTTCACTATATGAAAACTCTTTGTTAGTTGTCAAATGTTATACAGCACAAGGCCTTTTTTTTAATTTAAATTTTTATTGTGATTTGGGTGAGAGTTTACAGAGTAAATTTATTTTCCATATAGCAGTTCATACATACTTTGTTTCATGACTTTGAACGCAAGGGCAAAAGCATATTGTTAAAGTTTCTGTAGAAAAATAAGTCCTATAAGATATATATAGATTCGTGTAAATATAGTATATGCTTCTTTGTAAGTAGTTACTGATTTTTGTGTGTTTATGTGTGCCCCAATTAAACATTTTATGATTACATAAACTATCAGGGAAGTTTAATTCTTTAATTAATACTGATTATTTTAAGGAAATATTTTATGTACTGTACAAACATAAAACTGGCTTTCTTTTACCAAATCAAAAAACCAAACTCATTGCTGTTGAATTGATTCCGACTCACAGCAACCCTATAGGACAGAGTAGCACTGCCCCATAGGATTGCCAAGGCTATAAATCTTTACAGAAGCAGACTGCCCCATCTTTTTTCCCACAGACCAGTTGGTAGGTTCAAACTGCTAGCACCCAAGCACTTAACCACTGTCCCATCAGGGCTCCTGGTTTTCTTATAGACAGAAAAAATGATACATATTTTACTCTTTGTTCATCTACTGTTAAATTTTTGTTTGTGGCTGGTTTTTTACTAAGGTTTAGAGGTATGTCTTTTTTTTTTTTTTTTTTGTATTCTATAGAACATATTCTCACCTGTAGTGGTAAATAGGATCATTTAAAATTAGTCATACTTCATTTTTTTTGATCAACATGTTGATCCCATAACAACACTGGAATTTTTTTTGTTGTTAAATTGTCTTCAATTGCTATAAAATTGTTTCATGTCTATAAGGCATTTGACTGCTAACCACAAAGCTGGCAGTTCAGACCCACCAGCCACTCCTCAGAAGGAAGATTGGGCAGTCTCCTTCTGTAGTGATACTGTCTTAGAAACCCAAGGAGGGGTCGTTATGAGTCTGATCCGACTCAAGGGCAGTGAGTTTTAATTGTTTCTAGTGTTATTTTCTGAACTGTGGCTTAGGTAAAGAATAACATGTTTGTTTGCTGTTTTCTAAAGATCACATCAAATGTGGACTCAGTGGGTCGGATACAAATGCGAACAAGACGTACCCTGAGGGGTCACCTAGCTAAAATTTATGCTATGCATTGGGGCTATGATTCAAGGTTTGTACCTGTTGTTTCAAAACTATCAACAGAATTATTTTTGCTAAGAATCATCATTTGCATTTATTTATTTAAAAACAATCTACATTTATGTAATGTTTGCAGGAAATGTATCCAATATGAACATTTTGCTTTCTCTAAAAATATTCATTGATATTTTGAAAGTTTAAAAGCTTTTAATATGGAAAATAAATGTGCCTCTCAAACATATGCATTTTTCACACATTGGAGTATTATTTGCCTTTAAAGAGAAATGAAGTTCAGATACATGCTATAATATGAACGAATATTGAGTGAAGTTAGGAACAAAAGCTCTTACGAGGAAATACATAAAATTAAAGAATTGACAATTGATATAAAGTTAAGCCAAAAGCTTTATTCTTTTTCATAAAGAAACTTAAGATAAACATTAACTTGCCCATTGGTACTGCAAACTTTTAACTCAAAATATGATAATGGTTTTTAATTACCTTAAAGATTTTAAGATTTAAATCTTTAGAGAAAAACAAGTATCCCCAAGCAACTCATTTCATATTGTCTTCCTAATCATTCTGATTATCAACTCATTACTTGAGATTCTGCTTATTTATCTATCTTGTGTGAGTTTTCCAGTTGATTTTTAAATAATTTCTGGTTAGGGTTCATTCTGTACCCCCATCAGGTCTTTTCCTTATTGTAAGAACTTATCATTGTTTGGTATATAAGAAGGTGACAATAGTTACCTCCAGGGAAGGAAACTTGAGTAGCAGGAGAGTGGTTTCTTTTTACTGTCTGTATTTTTTTAATATATTTTTTGAATTTTATACTATGGTAAAAAATAAAATTCCAAAATAAAGCAAAAATGATTGACTACGAATTATGTAGTCAAGTTCATACTCCTTAGCATGGCACACAGGCTTTCTCTAATTTGAGTCTGTCCTGCTTTGTAAACTTACTTTTCCTGTTTCTCACAAATTCTCTACAACTAGAGTATTCACAGTTCCTGAAGGGAACCCACTGTGTTTTTCTACCTCTTGTCATTGATCAACCTTACCTTCCTTTTAGACTACAGATTTTTCTTTGTTGTTGTTGTTACATGCTGTCAAGTTGGACCCAACTCATAGTGACCTATTCTTGGGTTTCCGAGGCAGTATCACTACAGAAGTAGATTGCCCCATCTTCCTTCCAAGGAGTGACTGGTGGGCTTGAACTGCCAGCCTTCTGGTTAGCAGTCAAGTGCCTTAGGCACTACGCTACCAGAGTTCCCACAGATTTCTTTAGCTCTCAAAATTGTGTTTTTTGAGACATATTTTAAGAGTTTTTACTTGATTAACTCAGCTAGCAGTTATTTTCTTTTTTACTTTATGCCACTCTGATGTGTTTCACTTATTTGAATTAGTGTAAATAAATGTAAACGTCTTCTCTCCACCACATGGGAGAGGTGGGCCTCAAGAGCAGGAGGTGTGGCCTTCATTTTACCTAAAATACATTCACAGGCTCTCACTTGATGTTTTCAGATTGAGTGAAATACGAGTGTTAGGCTTATATATACTCTCTTGTTAAATTTCAGGAAGTCAATAAGTACTGAACTACTCAGATAATATCTACCAGAATCTTAACTAAGAACTAAAATGTTGCCACCGTGAGAAAGTTGAATCATCACCAGAGATGTTTTTAGTCCATTGCTAAATTTTATTTTGTGTTAAAAATTTTTGGCGTACTGCAATTTTTTTTTTTTAAGTTAGGAGAATATTTGTTGGTATCAAGTTGTTAATTAGAAAAATTGTATTTTTCTATTCTGAACTGTTCTGCTTTGATGCAATGTGTAACTAATTTAAACTATTTTCTTTCCTTCTAAGTATCAAATTATTTTTGTGTTTGTTCCTCTAGGCTGCTAGTCAGTGCTTCCCAAGATGGAAAATTAATTATTTGGGATAGCTATACAACAAATAAGGTAGAATTTCATAATCATTCTTTTAAATGACCTTGTATTTGGTTTGCCACCCACCCATTCTTTCCTTTATTCTACTTAAAAATTTAATTTCCTTCTGGGAGAAATTAATTCCATTTATTTTACTGTGAATCCTCTCTTTAGGCTTGGTGCTTGCTTTTTTATTTCCTAGGACAACTACAGGAATATTATACAGGGAGTTTTACTTGAGCCTCATAGTTCATATTTGAATATTAGAAAGCATGTCATACCATTTTTACATATAGTCTTTTTTTTTCCCCCATTTCTCATTCCTAATATGACAGGGACCCTAAGTTTTTTATTTCTAACTGTGGATAAGCCAAATAGCTAATTTAAACCTTTTCATTGGTCCACTCAGATACTGATTTGAATTTTTAGATTGCCTAGAAGATACCAGACATGGGAGGTACATTAGGACCTTGTTTAGACTTCTAGGTGGTAAAAGATTACAGCTCCTAATCTGACCAGTGGAAGGAGTTCCTGGCTTAATCAAATACCTTTAGGTTCTGTGTACACTATTTTTTGTTAAATGTGTTTGAACATATATTAATTTGTGAAATAAGCAATAGCTTTGGACTGATGGAGATTTTAAAACTGTTGTTGTGCCATTGAGTCGGACCCAATTCATAGCGACCCCTCCTTGGGTTTCCGAGGCAGTATCACTATGGAAGTAGATTGCCC